CGAGTAAGACATTAAAGCAATGTCAAATCAATGGAAAGAGACTAGAAATCGACAAAAGCAAGGTTTACTGTACTAGATAGCATTAAGCTAACATATTTAGCGCATTGAAAAGCAAATGAGTTGATTTATAAATTGAAATTGATGGATAACGATCCTTAATTGTCATCATGGCCCAGATTGCGGTATAAGCAGTAAAATTGAACAACACTTATCAGTTATTACGATTGATGATCGGTCGATGCAAAAATTTTTCACGATAAGTCTCACCACAAAGACAGTGTAATTTTCAGCGGTATCATAATAATAATTTAGATATTGCAAAGCTATGCGGTCCGTATTATCAGGGACTTCTCTGGACCGTTTTTCAGATACTCTGACTGTACGTAGAGACCTACTGTACTCACGTGTTCACAAAGGTATACTGTAATCAAGGACTTTTCAAGAATTTTCTCTAAAAATTCCTACTGTAGTTATACTAACAAATATATGCAATCGTACATCTAGCATAAACAGAGTTGCGAATCTCTTTCTGTGCTACCCTATGCAATATGTATTAATGCGTGATTCCGTTTGACTCCATCTTAGATAACATATTCCACATTTACAAACATGTCCTGCTGTCTTTTTGAACCTTGATTAAATTTTATTCATCGTTGTTTGGATTAATGTAGGATAGAGTAGGAAAAATGTTTAATAAATTGAATAGTACTATCTGCTACGATTGATCATTGGCTGGATGCTCAAAAATTACTTTAGGAACATCAGGTAGATTAATTTTCGTTCTATATTGGAGGAAATCGTATTATAGTTACGTAGATCAAAAAAAGACATGAACTTACACATATCAATCTCAGTGACATTCAATCTGGACCGCTCGGTCATTTCCAGATTACAATATACGAGTGCACGAACTACAGCTAGAGAAATTAAGGGAGGACATCAATGTAGATATCTTATGATCGATATCAAAGCAGTTTTAGCAGAAATAAGTAATATTGTTTATTAGTGAGCAATTACTACCAGTAAGCGTCAATAGGCTGTATTAAGTTGTGCAACTAGCCTGTCAAGTCAAGAGGTAAACTTTTGATAACCCAAGATTTTAATAGTCATCAGTTCTGATACAAACGGTAGATACTGTATGTATGATTCTAGGAAGGTTAAAAATGGGGATCATCGATGTACTCGTCAGCCCCGATTGCAATACGCTCTCCTCTCCCTTCTCTGAACAAAGGAGCATTTAGGAAACCATAATAATATTAATATTTATCTAATGATAGAAATAAATGTAAAAAATGTGAAATCAATATTGTATCTTTACTTTCCGAATAATATACAGTAGTGATGAAAAGTGAAGTCTAGGATACCACCTACCATCTGACAATATGTACAGTATGTGGTGTTAGTAGAAATCATCATGATTATGATTTTCCGAGATGAAAATATTAAGACATACGCTCGAACGGTGGACGGAAAGCTTCTATAGTACAGAAGCAAACGACTATAGAAAATCAAGCAATATTCGAAGACTTTGGATGACTTTATTACATTAGCTGAATCCACGTAACAATCCCTAACGAGCTTTTAAAGTATGCTTATACTCATACTTCGAAAGATTTATGATACAATAAGAGCTCACTAATGACAGAAAACATACTCAACGACAGCGTATTATTTTCTGCATTATCAAGCTAGTTATTCTGGCAGACCTCTGTAGATGTGAAACAGAAAACTACAATATTAGTGTGTTACAACATGTGTCTTTTGGTGATCAAGAATGACTCGTGAGATGACAATCGAGTAGGCGAACATGTTTTACCCATAGTTTGCTGTTATTGATATACGTTGTGAGCAATTACAGTATTAAGAAAAATAAAGTAAAATTTAAAGCAATTTAGAAATATAACGATCATACAGATAAACTCACAATTCCACTGCATCTGAAAAAGTATGATGTAGAAAACGAAATTTTTATGATCGATTGAAGTTTAATATTATTAAGTTATGCACTGTATCGTGTATACCATAAGCTAACTTCATGAAAACGTATGTACCTATTTAATTTGATGTACGAGTACATTCATTAGATCGATCAATTTTAATGTACGCGTAAAATGTCCGTCAAAAATGCCTATACAAAAAAGTTGATGTACTGTAGTCAGTAGCTGAACTGTTGGTAGATCCACGAACTCGTACTGTGCTGCACATATGTCGTTACCAAGGACTACTCGTATAGGAATCCGATAGTATTAACTTAAACTTATTAATGCTAAATATATACGATACAGTGCTGTTATCATCGTTAACATTACAAATTTTTAATTTGAAACTGAATACAATCTGATGTTATCTAAAATCAAAATGTAGTTAACCTTTATATAGTCAGTTATAATTCCTAGATGTAACAGCGAAAAGAGATCTAAAAAATTGTACAGTATAGTATGATTGGTATCGTATCCCAATACTCGTAGATTCTCCTTCAAAAGATCCTAATCCACAATGAAAACATTAAGGTATCAATCTCTCAATGTCCTGAATACGCGCACACTCTACATCGAGCTTTAAACGAAGACTAAACGCATATCTACTGTCTAGGGATGGCTACTGTAGGGTAGCGGTAAACTATATTTCATCAACACCAAACTATAACAAGAACTACTAAAGAAAAAGAAAAAGACTACAATAACATAGTCGAAAAACAGAAAATGAGCCTGGATACCAAAAGTGAACAGTACTGTACAGTAGTAGTAACCCATATTCGGCAAATGAATTATCTTTAATGTTAAGCGATTTTACTAACTTTAGATTTTATTACAGATTTGAGTCTACATGACGTCGGATGCTATGCAAGATATCCTTGAAATCGCTGTTGGATATTGTTCCAGAGATGAAAATATCCTATTTAATTTTACAATCTTAGAAAGATAAAGCTTTCAAATTTCACGGTTATCCTCTTGATATGATCGTGAATAAATTTTAATTTCGTGGTCCCAATCGTGTATTTTGAAGACGTTGTATCTTGTCCCCCATATCTAAATTGTTTCCAAGCGCTTATACGAGTACTCGTAAAGGTCTAGACTAAGCAAATGACTGGATTCTACTAAATCCGGTAAGGCCGTTCTCATCTCTTTACTACAATATTACATCGAGGCTTAAAGCGATAAATATTAAGCCTAGTAATATCTAGCATATTATCTTAATATCAACATGTTAACCGAGACAACATCGCTACTACTGTACAAAATGTACTTTATTCTTTCAAAGTAACTAGTAACTAGCCAAGATGAAAAAAAAGCAGTTCATTTTATCGAGAAAATTGCTAATAGCTGTCTATATGTACATAAAATATCGTACGAAGGTGAAAATAGACAGCGATCTGAAGGATTTACGCTGTAGATTTCAGTTTTTGAACATCATGCAGATATTATATACGTGAAACGATGGATGAACGGAAAATAAGTTTTAGCTTTCAATGCATAGTTGATGACTTGTGAGATATTAAAACCGAATCGAAGGTACATGGCCGTTTATAATGTATTATAGGTAAGTAGATGGACAACTGTTTCGTTATAGAACACCTGAAGATGATTATCCTTTTTA